TTCTGGATTTCGATTTTGTTTATTTGTTGTATAACTGCAAAATGTTTGATTTACATAATTAAAAATTTATCTTTCAACTATCTTGAAAAGTGAAATATATATATATATATAAAGATAAGACTAAGGTTGTAGAATTTGCTTCTGATGTAATCTATTAGAAGCACTGTACAAATTCAATAAAACAATTGATTTAATAAATTTAAATAGTATAATTTTCGTTGCATTTTATTATTTAATTTACTTTTATTAAAACTGCATGTTGATAGAAAACTCTTTAGTTAAGTTAAAACGTCTTAATGTTGTACATGATGTTATTTTTTTTATTAATTCATAATAGTGGTTTGCATTCTGTACATCATTGAAACGATTTTCCATGTTAAATAAATCTTCGTTGAAACATTGCGGGAGTATGTTGCTTTCAATTCCAAGTTTTTTCTTAAAACAATAATTATTTATTTTTAATAATCTTTCTGATTCTTGGCAGATCTGAAAATCATTAAAATTTATTTTTACCAGAAAATAAATAAATGTATCGTTTTACCTTTAATACTCCTTGTGAGGGATACGTCAATTCTCCAAGCCAATTATGCACATTTTTCTGAAATTACTTGTAATTAAGTTTTAGTTTAGATATTGAGATATATAAAAAAAACCTTTGAGTTTTGTAAATGTAACACCATCTAAATTTTTCAAACTTAGTAAGTAGGCTTTCATTTCATAAAGTTTATCTATAGTGGCTGTCAGGTTGCTCTTTGTAATGGATTGCTTCCATTCTCTATCTAGTATCAGTTTGCTGTTCAATATATGGAAAAGATCATTGATGTTTTTCACAAAAGCTATTGATTTAGCCGCAGAGCAACTAAAGACTCGAGATGCATATTTAACTTTCATCTTAGACTTTTCAAAATTTACACGATTTTTGGTTAATTTATTTTTTAGTTTCATTTTGATTTGTTGCTGATAATTAACTAAGTTTACGATATGATTCCATTTGATTGGATTATTATTATAAAATATCATATAAGAATGAAACATATTCCTCATTAATTTCAGCATGTGGCATGCATCAAATATGATATATATTTTCTGGCCGGTTGTTGGGGACAAGAAACTTGTTTGCATGTTTGGAAATGTGAAAGAGCATCCAAGCAATCCACATGCCGAAACGTTAGTGGACAACCCATCCATTACCAGTGAAACAACCCTAAAAAAATAAATATAATGTATAAAAATTTTAACATATCTTTAAGAAAAACGAATGTTGTTTACCCTAACTCCAGCATTATGTAACTTATCAATGGCTTTCTCTATAAAATCTTTCAACTTGTGAGATGATAATTTATTTGTATAAAAATTAGCTATTGAATGCCTCCAAGCTTCTCTCAGACCAACAACATAAAAAACCAACATCTCTGAAGCAACTATGTCCTCATTCCCATCTCCATAGTTAACATATCCAATAAAGTCATCTTCACAAATAAACAATGTGTTTGATAATTTATGCTTAACATTTAACATCAATAAAGTTAAATAAATTGAAAACAAATGTTTATGGTGAAATGGGAAACAAAAAAAATACATAAATAAATAAAATACACAAGGAATAAACTAGCATATGCTACCAAAATATGCTATATTTTAAACTCACAATTTTACAAACGAAATATATTTTAATAAACCTACCAATTTTCCTATTATACGTTATTTGAGGCTTTATTGATATCGAATCAAGGATTAAAGAGCATTTGCAATATTTCATTTGCAGTACATATTTCTTTATATAGCAATATTAGTTTACAGAATATCCTTATTAACAAAATTTTACTTGTTCAATGTTCTCGAGTGTGGCAGTGTTAGTCCACTTTTTCTTAAAAATTGGTATGCATGAGGACCATGAAAATGCAGCTGCATATAAAAGGTCTTGTAACTATCATTATATACTTTGTTAACTCTTTTTAAATGGAATGAGTTTTTTATCTAGAAACAAATAAAAACAAAAAATTAATCAAAATTTCAATTCATTTTGCTATGGTTACATAACATAAAACCTTTGTATGTAGCCAATTCATTTTTTAATTTATTACATTCATTCATAAGTTTTCTTATTGTTGCTTGCAGCATTGTGATTCTGGACTTGTAATACTTTGATTGCCTTTGCTGTTGCTTGATGAGATGTGCATCCATTGAGCAAAACGTCTAAATATGATTTAAATTTGAAAGTAAATAGCTGCATTTAAAATTTTTCATCATATATATATATATAAATATATATAAAGTATATATATATATATATATATATATATATAATATATATATATATATACCCAATAAATTAAAATAAAGAAACTCTTTGTATTCTGTATTTCTTATGACAAAAAGCCATTTTACAAAAGCATCCTAATAATAATAATAAACCCTAAAAAGAATATAAAAAATATTTGAACATTAATTAACGATAGTTAAAAAAATAAAAAGTCAAAATTTAAAATAAAAATACAAAAAAGCAAAGCCTCTTTTTTTCTACTAGTCTGGGCCTAGTCCCTAGTGTCTCCTGGCACAATGTAACATTTTTAAAACTTTTAAACAAATGAACTTTATAAAATCAAAATGGATCAAATAATAAATGATTCCAAAAATTTTACATAATTCAGTTAAATTATTAAGTTAAAAATCGATTAAAACTGCCGTAGAATGATTTTAGCAGCAAAACAACGTTTACAAGAATGCCGCCGGTGGCACATTAACAGGGATGAAGCTAAATATAGATTGGAAAACTGAAAAACCCATTGACAATTTGGTGCTAAAAAAGTTTGCTTCCAAGTTTCCTGACCTTGAGAAGAAGGTCAACACTATAAAGCTATTCTTATATATAATTCAATGGAATTTACTAAGATCGTATAAAAAATGATAAAAATGTAATAACAAAAATGTGAACGGAGCGTGCGAATTTGTATCTATTATTGTGTTAATTAATTGAAAAATAAAAAATACGATACTTTTCACGTGATAACAAAATATATTTATTAACATAGAAGCATATATGGAACAAACAACGTTTTGATTGTACAAAAAACTCTGTTTACAATGAAAAATGTAATCGGCATATATACAGAATAACCGCAGTGCAAATGTAATTAAAAAATGTAATGTAAAAAAATTGGGGGTCTCGTGGCTGAGTGGTTAGCGTGTCCGTCTACCACTCCCATGACCCGGGTTCGAATTCTGCAGTTTCTACAGAT